GGGGGGGGGGGGGGGTAGTTACCACTGTATGAGATGTTCTTTAAACAGAAGCGATCTCATCTACTACAAATTCTCTAGTGCCCTGCATTCATTTGTAGCTGCTAAAGCATGCCTGTGACAAGTGAACCCAAACCATGGCCTTTCCCTGTATGTGACCATGAGATTTCAGCCTCGACATTCTTTCTTTGAGCTATGCTTCTTGCCATCAGACTTGCGGCAGATGCAACCTGGATAAGGATTGGCATAGAAGTTCTCCTCCAGTTTCGAGGACTTCCCAGGACATCTGGGATATGGTGACCCCATTCTCTCTTTATGTAATTCCATAACTTTGTAAGAATACTCTTCCCAGCTTAATGCTCCTGCGTCCAATCGGTCTATCAAATCCACTAAATTTGTCCTGAAAATAGATGATAAGCGTCCCTTAGATTGAGACAGAAACTCTTTTCCAATTCATTTTTCCATTTAGGATTTCAATCCTCCTACCATACCTGCATGAAATAGCTTTACAGCTCTGACTAAGTATCAACTACTAGTACAGAGTAATTACTCAATGAACAACATTAAGTTATTTTAGGATTCTCGTTTATGAATTGAGTCTTTTTCTGCCATATTTTTTACTTTGTTAAGAAAAATTCCCGGCTATGGATTTGTTTATCTCTGCTCTATACCTGTCAGGGCTGATGGTTTTCCGAAACCCTTCAAATCTCCTGTGACCTTGGACAGCTTTAGCCATGTTCCCATCATAGGTGTAAACGAAAACATCACTCTCTACTGCTACAATATAGTCTAAAGCAGCCAACTGGTTCTGATATTGTTTGAAAGGCTCCAATTCCTCTTCAGTTGCCAAAGAAGAATGTGTGAAGGTGTTAGGATACATAGCTTTTAGCGGTTTAATCCCGCTTTCGCTGTAAATGTTGCCAGCAACAATGTAGATATTGGTATCAGAAGGATACCCCATTGCCTGAAGAAATATAGCTACCTCTCTTGGAGTCATGGGGCATTCCCCTAGTAGTCTTTGTTGGGTACCGTTTATGTCTTTTACCTTCCAGTGTCTCACGTTAAACCTTAGGGTTGTCAGCTCTTCATCCTCCGCTTCGGTAAGGCTGTGACTACAGCCCGTGAATGCCAGCATGTCTTTTTCGTATCTGCAATCAAAAATATTTGCTATTAGGAACATATATAACTTTGGGAGAACCGGTCTTGGTAGTTTAAACTGTACATGTGAATGAAATACTAATCATCGTACTTATATGTAACAGCTTAAACCCACCGTTAGCAAATTCCACCTCGGTTGGAGAGTGGAACGAAACATTCCTTATAAGGGTATGGAAACCTCTCTTTAGCTGACACATTTATAACTTTGATAGGAAGCCCAAAAGGGATAGCTCAAAAGAGACAATATCTGCTAGCGGTGGGCTTGAGTTGTTACATTACACGATGTTCTTTGACGGTGAAATGAAATGGAGTTCTTCTATTCTCAGGTAAGAATTGGTGTTTTGGTTTAGCATTCAATTTGAAAGTAGGCCTAGGAAAGTACTACTCTTGGGACTTCTTGCTTACCTTAAATGCAGAGCTAAATAAGGTTTTCCATCACTTCTTAGTCGAGCAACGAGCTTGTTTCCAAACTGTTCAATTTTGGTATTGAATGTCAAAGCTCTATACATTGCTCGACATCGTAGTTTCTGTGTCGATTCCGCAACACCATTGTTGGCTAATCGAGAGTCCGTGTGGGTTAAGTTAAGGATTTTGTGCTGCTTCAACAAAGACGCCATATGTACTCTATAGTAACGAGGCTGCATATATATTTCCTTTTAGAATGGGAGGGAAACAAAGTGAATGAATGGAAATGGGAGGGAAACAAAGTGAATGAATGAATGAATGTGCAGCGAATACCTTAGACCAAGAAACTGGTGCCGTTTCAAAGGGCTTGATATGTGAGAGTTCTAAAGGGAGAGATTCTATTACATGAACTTCATCCCTCAAAACTTGGATGAAATTTTTCCAGTTGAAGATGTCTTTGAATTCACTGCAAAAAAGGGATTCAATACTTCATTTAGTTTGAAATTAAACTCACAATAGAAGCTAGGAATAACGACCTTGTATCAGTCCAAAAGGATCTATGATCCAAAGAAGGAAGAACTAGAGTTGCATTCATGAGTTTTGCTATAGCAACCAGGTCACTTATCTGCAATAGTTATCATAAAATAAACAAACAAATAAATCAAAAACATTTCTATCTAAAAGAAAAAAAAACTTATTCATTTCAACGAAGAGACCCCAGTTTTCATCTGGTTCAATCCGCCGTTAGCTCGAGCAAGAAGGTAGCCATTTGTTTCAATCTCAATCCCTGATATTAAACCAGTATTAATTTGTTTGAAATCAGGAAGGATAACAATAATCTCATAGAAATTGCTTACATGATTGGTCGTTCTTTGTCCCATTTATGCATTTGTAATAGTTTTGTCTGTCTGGTTGCTCCCATGTCTCCAAAAACTAACCGCCATTTGGAAAAACAAAATTATTTAAATATAATATAATAATTAAAAAGTAAATAAAAGAATTCGTATTAATTTAACCTTGGCCGGAACAGGGTTGTGGGGGTTGGTCTTGGCGGAAGCAGATTGGGCCAAAGCGGCGTTTGATTGGTAGAGAAGTTTTTGGCGGGGAATGAAATTATCAGAAGGCCCCCCAGTTTTTTTGTCGTTGTGCATAAACCGCATTTCATCAAAAGAATTAAGCAACGTAAACTTAACGAACAGAGAGATGGTGGAAAACGCCAAAAGCAACAAGCAGCCGATCACGTAACATCCAGGGCGGCGCACAATGTCGGGAAAGTGGCGGTGGACATGGCGGCGGAAGGAGGCAACATGTTTGGCGTCGCCGTCGATGAAGATGCCAGCAGCTGCGAGTTTGGCGGCATCCTCATGGTCATATTCCAACAGCCTTCTTCTGGTCATGACGTTGAAGAGGAGGAGGAGGAGGAGGAGGAGGAGGAGGAGGAGGAGGAGGAGGCGTAAAGGGCAGTGGCAATGAATTTTGAATTTTTGTTTCGGTGGAGAGGTGGTGGAGGTGTTCAGAAAGAGGGGGGCGAAATGGGTAGTAGTGGACGAGAAGGGATTTGACGGTTTATTTGTGAATTAAACGATTTTTAATTGGCTGTGGGGATATCATAGGAACCGAAATCTGAGGAACAACGTAGCCTTTCCAGTTGCTGCTCATCCATCATCTCTACCATTCCATTCCCTTTTCTAATTCAGGACATTTCCTCTATAAATATTACCAATATATTAAAGATTGCTAAAAATATATATTTCTAAATAAAAAAAAATATAGTACCTCTTTTATTTTATTTCATCCCAAAAGTCCTTGTCATTTTATTTCCACGGCCTGGCCTGGTCAGTACCTAGCCGGGCTTTTTTTGTTCCAATGAATCGTAGATAAAATTATTTATTTTATTTGAAAACACAAAATGTTTTTGAAACAAAAAAAATCGAAACAACAAGAATCATAAGAAGATTTATTATTTGATTCCTATGATACAGAAAAAGATGATATAGAATCAAGGTGCCATTCCTTACTATTATTCTTTATTTTAGTACTTTACTAGAATAGAATTAAAAAACTTGTTAATTTTTTAATTAAAATGAGTCCTCTTTTCCTAATCTCATCAGTCGCCCTGATGAAAATACGTCAACGTTCGAATTTTCATGATTCTTTTCTGATCCGATCTTTTTATTATTTATTACTACGACTTATTTTCGTCTTCGACAAAAGGTCAATTTATATGCAATAATTGCATTGTAGCGGATATAGTTTAGTGGTAAAAGTGCGATTCGTTCTATTAATCCCTTAATAGTTAAGGGATCCTTCGGAATTATTAATATTCCGATCAAAAACTTTTTTTCTTAAAAGGATTTAATCCTTTACCTCTCGATGAAAGATTCGAGGAAAAATATAAATTCTCGTGATTTGTATCCAAAAATAAGTTCGAAATTGAAAAAATTGGATCACGAAATTACGAAACATAATTTTATTGAATTGGATCAATACTTCCAATTGAAGGAATAAGGGATCCATGGATAAAGGTAGAATTTTTTCTAATCGTAACTAAATCTTCAATTTTTTCTTTGGATAAGGGAGATTGAAGCAAAAAAAAATAGCTATTAAACAGTGTCTTTGGTTTACTAGAGACGTCGACATCGTTTTTTAGCTCGGCGGAAACAAACTACTTTTCCTAAGGATTATATTAAATAGAAATAGGGAACGAAATAAATAACTGGAAAGATTGTTATAATCTCCTCTTGTATAGGGATCATCTATAAAGCGTGTCCTTTTGAATGCATTCAGACGGAAAGGCTGACATAGATGTTATGTATGGGTGGCA